TGTGATAAATGTTGATGGACATAACTCAGGTGAACAAAAGCTCCCTCCCACCCTTCCTAAAAGGGTGAGCAGTGCTATTGGGGAGGACAACGCTGTTGGGGAGGACTCCCATCCACGCTGTCTTTGCCCCATGCTTCTGGTTCACCTCCTGGGTGCCACTTGAATGTCACCACTCAGAGGCCAGCTGAGCCAGACCCAGTGCCGCTCGTTGCCAGCATGATCATAACTTCTGAATGGTTTATCCGTTTGTCTATGGACTGACTTATTGGCCGCTGGGAACAGGCTGCTGGAGGAATAGAGAAGGGAGCAGGGAGAGCTCTGTCTGCCGGCATCACACCCACGTCCCCAGAGCCAGGCATTATGTTTGTACCCCATAAAAGAGTCATGCTGCTGATGCCTGGGCAGGCTGAGGGCTGCTGGCTGGCTGAGTGGTAATGCTGGACCCTCCCACCTGCTGCCACCAAGCTGCCAGGCACCAGCACTCTGTCCTGTTGAATGTCGCCCCTCCCTGCTGCCCTGGGATCATGCAACCCTCTCTAATTATATCCACCTAAGGAGCCTCCCAGAGTTGCAAGCGGAAGGACCCTGAAAAGGACAAGCTCCCAGTGAGGACACGGGCTTATTAGGAAGCAAGGCTGAGTATGACTTTGGATTGGTTCTGTGCCCCCCACCCCTGGCTCCTCCAAGCAGGCCAAATCTGAGAAGACTAGTTGATAAGAATAATAGATAAAAGTGACAACAGCATCTCAGGAGTCATCACTCGGCATGTACCAGACCCAGTGCCAAGGGCTGCTTGAGTGCAGTCCTGTAGAATCACCACCTCACTATGAAGATGGGGCACTGTGTTCATTTCCTGTGGCTGTTGTAACCAGTTACCACAAACTGGGTAGCTTGAACACCCACAGCAGAAGTGTGCTCTCTCACTGTGGAGAGCAGCAGTCTGAAATCAAGGTGTCGGCAGTGTCAGTTCTCTCCCCCTGTGTCTGGTGGCCACCCCAGATACCGACTCCCTTGGCTTATGGGCCCATCATTCTCTGGAGTCCTTTTCCTTCTCTTTTAGTCGTTGTGATCTCTTCCCATGATCTGTACCTTATCGTATCTGGAAAGACATTTTTCCGAAATAAGGTCACATTGCCATCTTCCAGGGGTAAGGACTTGGATATATCTTTGGTGGGGCCACTCTTTACCTCATGGTGGGCAGTGAGGCACTTGTCTGAGGCCTTAAGTCAGTACACAGTGGAAAGAGGGGCTGAGCTGAGGCTCAGCACTGGTCCTGTGAAAGGACACCACCATATCCTGTTTTGGACCTTTCCAAGTACTTTATAACAACTGTGTGCTGTAATTCTGCTAGGATGGAATTTGAACTTTTTTTTTTTTTTTTTTTAGTTAAAAACGTTTTCGCCATGTGTCATGTGGGATTTTAGTTCTCTGACCAGGGATCGAACCTGTATTCCCTCTAGTGGAAGCACTGAGTCTTAACCACTAGACCACCAGGGAAGTCCCCTCGTTTGGCATTTTAGTTTACTTCTAATTTAGACAATTTTCTTGCATGCCTTCTGTTTTTCCTGGAGTTTCTAATTGCCTCTTTTTTCTTTTAACCAAAGAATACTATGTGCTTTCACTGCATCCTGAAATTCATTCAGCCTCTTGACTATACTCTGGTGTGTGGAACTCCCTTTCTTGTAAACCTCCCTGTGTGATTCCTGGTCCACAGCTCCAGTGCCCCATCAGGTCTCTTCTGTCACTCCTGTCCAGAGATGACCCTTCATTGTTCACTCACTTCCCTGGCTTCTCCTTTTCTTCTTATTTTTGCTAGTGTGTGAGAGGTACTCTTGGGAGGATCTGTTGCTCTGTCATCTAGTGTGGCTTAGAAGACGGCTGCTGTCAGTTCCAGCCTCTTTCCCTCTTGGATGACCTGCTTCTCCCCTTTCTCTCAAGTAAGTTCTGCAGTCTCTTCTAGTGTTCTAACATTGCAGATACTCTTGGCAGGAGCCTTTATTCACTACTCCACCCACCTCTATGCTAACCCTTTCCATGTTAGTTTCCTGTCTCCTTTTTTTACTGTAAGAGATTGCTGTGGTTATTCAGTCGCTCATTAGTGCCCGACACTTTACAACCCCATGAACTGCAGCACAGTAGGCTTCCCTGTCCTTCACCATCTCCCGGAGTTTCCTCAAACTTAAATCTGTTGAGTTGATGATGCATCCTCTGTTGCCCCGTTTTCCTCCTGCCCTCAGTCTTTCCCAGCACCAGGGTCTTTTCCAGTGAGTTGGCTCTTTGCATCAGCTGACAGATCCTATTCTGTTGTTTCTTTGGTAATTTCCTCTCCATTTTTTTCTGTTCTTTTACTCAGTAGTGTCTTCTGTTAGATGTTGCACCCACAGGATCAGTTCCCTGTGACTCTGAACTGTGACCTCCTGCTGTTTGTAACTATCAGATGCGAAGTGGTTTGCTTGCCTGCTTGATTGTGAACCCCCCTTCTACCCAAAACAAAGTCAGTAAGGAGAGCATACAGAGCCATACAGAGCTCTTAGCTTCAGCATTGCTAGGAGACAGAGAACAGCACAACATTCACATATTTTTTAGAGCTGTTTCTGTTTTTCTGTTTTCCTGGGATATTTCCTTGAGTATGTTTTTAGTTTTTCTATGGGAGTTTTGTTTGGGCAACAATACTCTCAATTTTTAAACACTTATTCTCTGTACTCTGAACTTCCTTTTTATGGTATCCTGTTTACACATAAAATTTTGTCTGAAATTTCTTGAGAATGCTAGTCAGAATTTTTAGGTTAATATTTTCTTCTGTTTCCTGGCTTCACTCTTTTTCCTCTGGAGTCAGTGGTTTTGTTGCTCTTGGCCTTGCCCTTTCGTGCCACTGGTTTTCCTTGGCTGCCTGACCATCTTTGGGTGTCTGTTTGTATTTAAGGTTGATGGCCTCATTGGGGGTGGGCAGCATCGATTTCCTCTGCTGGGCCCTGATGGACAGGCTTCAAAGACCAGCTCTCAGCTTGAGGGCCGGAGTCTGGGAGGGAGGGGGAGAAACGCGGCAGGAAGGGGAACTCTGGCCACCCCCAGTGCCAGAGGCTGCCCTCTAGGGTGCAGGAATTCCCTGCTGGTTCCCCCCGTGCAGCTAATGTCTTTTGTGTGTGGTTCAGCTAGTGTTTTCTGTGTTTGCCTGGGTGAAGGCCGGCCTGCCTCTTGCTCTAAGCTGTCCTCACCTTCCTCTCGTGGGTGTCTTCTCTGCTGTTAGCCATGTTGGAACTTCGCAGAGTTGGACTCGGAGAAGCAGACTCTAGTTGGAGCTGCAGTCAAACAGACTGTTGGCCAGTGCCTGCATGCTCAGCCATGTCCAGCTCTTTGCAGCCTCATGGACTGTAGCCTACCAGGCTCCTCTGTCCATGGAATGTTCCAGGCAAGAATACTGGAGTGGGTTGTCATTTCCTCCTTCAAGGGATCTTCCTGACCCAGGGATCTAACCTGCATCTCTTGCATCTCCTGCATTGGCAGGCAGACTCTTTACCACTGCACCACCTGGGAAGCCCATAAACAGACTCTTAGTCCCAGAAGATTGTCTGTCCTGACCTGTTCATAATACAGATGAGGAGACTGCAGAGGGTCTGAATGGCTGGGTGCTGGGGTCGACAAACTGTCTGCAGATCCTGCAGGATTTGAGACTCTGGAGTTAGGGCTTCCGTGGGGTTAGGGTGATCTGTGGGGTCAGGGTGATGTGGCCAAACTTGCTGGCTTGCGAGCTCTTCTGGCGCCTTCCCCGATCCCAGCTCCCATTCTTAGAGCCCAGGGAGCAGCCTGTGCTTCCCGCCGCTCAGGCACAGCTGACCCAACACAGGCTGCTGGGTGGCACGCACTTGAGGGGGCCGCAGCACCTGGGATCTTGTCATTTTCTCCCGGGAGGGGTCGGATGGAAGCAGATGGGAAGTGACAGGAGGGTGCTGGCGCCCACACGGAGGTTGGCGGAGATGGGACGCCAACGAAGGGGCGCAGGGAGGGCAGGGCAGCCTAGGGTATGCGCTGAGACTGACCCTAAGCCCTCTCGCCCGCAGGAGAGCGCCCCTTCGCCTGCAGCTGGCAGGACTGCAACAAGAAGTTCGCGCGCTCTGACGAATTGGCGCGGCACTACCGCACACACACGGGGGAAAAGAAGTTCAGCTGCCCCATCTGCGACAAGCGCTTCATGCGCAGCGACCACCTGACCAAGCACGCGCGCCGCCACGCCAACTTCCACCCCGGGATGCTGCAGCGGCGCGGCGGGGGTTCGCGAACCGGCTCGCTTAGCGACTACAGCCGCTCAGACGCCAGCAGCCCCACCATCAGCCCAGCCAGCTCGCCCTGAGCGCCTGCGCGCGGGGCGGGGCCAGTGGCAAGCCACGCCCCACCAGGCCATGCCACGCCCTGAGGCCCCGCCTCCTTACCACAGCCATGAGCAGATGCTCTCACTTCTCGTGATTCCGTGTCTTTTCCTTTTGTAATAAGAAGAGAGAAGAAAAAAAGAGAGAGAACTTTATGAAGTCGACGACAACAACAACAAAAAAAACAATTTTCTTCACCTCAGGTGTCAAATTTGTAAAAAACAAAAAAACAAAAAAAAACACAATAAAAAAAATTCCAAAAAACACCATCCACAATTGCACAAGAGACATACCCACGCAGGTGAGATTCAGCGGTGTTGAGCCTCCCCCCCCCTTTCTCAGGGATGGACATGTTCCATGAGGTCAGTGAGGACACCCCCTTCCTGCCGCCTTATTCTGTACATAGATTTCCACTCTGGAGTTTCCTTTAAGGTTTGGGCACACACTGGGGACGGAGCAGTGCAGGTGGAGCTCCCCGCGGGCGGCAGATGGAGCGGTGGTCACCAGCCTTGTGCTTTTAGGGCAGACCCCTGAGCAGGGCCCATGGCTCCCTCTTCCTGCCCCCTGCCCAGCCTCAGGCTCGCCCCAGCGGCAGTGGGCTAAGAATGCAGAGGACTCTGAGGGACACCTCAAGCCATGATGGGCAAGGGGAACAGTCCTCACCTCTGGGACCCTGCCCAGGTCCCTCTCAAGCGCTGGAAGCAGAGATGCAATCCTGGGTTGGGCAGACCGATGCACCGTCTGATGTCCACACGGCTGTGTGATGCTGTGTCCCCGCAGAAGGCGCCAGGACCTTCCACAATTATACCACGTCCTCTGACTGGCCTTCTACAAGGATGTCCAAAGGTGTCACCGGTGCATCCAGTTCCTACATTTTCCCCGACTGACCCTGCTCATGAGACGCCTTTGTTTGACACGGTGGGTAAAGCGGGGCTCTGTGCGTGTGGCCTGCAGTGGCCGTGCGTAGCACTCCACAGAGACTGTTCAGTAGCAAGAGACCGGAACATTGTGACTTGGAACTTTGGGGGGTAGCAAAGCGGACGCTATGGGAAATGCAGTCGAAGAACATACATTCTCTTTCCTCCCCGGGGAGCACCGGACAGAAGTTGTGGGAAGTGCTTTTTTTCAGACCCACCGTGTCCCCAGCTGAGACTCAGCGAACGCTCAGCTTCTCCGTGAGCTGTGTCCCCTGGACTCCTCCCTCCCTGGTCTCCCCCTCCCACCTGGGAGGCCCTAGCCCACCCCCAGCCTTGGGGCACTGGGGTGTAGGGTCCCCATTGCCAGCCTTCCCGAGCAGAGAGCTGGGGACATCTCTCCGGGAGCCCCGACCCGGGCAGGTGGGTCAGGCAGGCTCCAGCGTGCTCCCCTGTGGAGAGCTGGGGCAGCCCCCGCCCAGGCACCTCCCTGGCCTTCCTCCAGGGAGTCAGGGCCTGTAAATACAAGTCCCCAGGACAGTGTGTGTGTGTGTATGTGTGTGTGTGTTGGGGCAGGGGTGTGGGTTTGGGAAGGACTTGGGGTATCTTGCAGAGACCTCTGTTCATTTTGATGAGGAGGAATGACCCTTGGGACCTCAGAGGGCCATAGAGGGGCTTCCCTGAGCCCAGAGTGCCTTGGTTGTGGCCATGTTGCTTCTGCCCCCACCCGATCACAATGAGGGGTACAGCACGGAGGAGGTCCCGAGACCCAGCCCCAGCTGGTGCTCATGGGCCCTGGGCGGCTCCAGAGCACATGGGCGCCCCCATGTCCTTAGCAGCTGCCATCCTCTGCGCTCCGGGTGCCCATTTCTAACTCTGCTGTGTCATCTGGGGTCAGCCAGTGGTGTGATAGTGGCTTCTGAGAGCATGGCAGGTACGAGGTGGGCAGGTGCATCGCTCTTGCTATGCATGGGAACCGGGCAGAAGCGGCATGGGGGTGAGGCCTCACCCTGGCCTCTGTTGGGGCTGGGTGGCAGCCCTGCTCGCATTTGGTCCAGGACAGCGAGCAGAATGTGCTGGACACCTGGACAGAGCAGTGCCCTGAGCACCAGGGGTGAGAGCTTTTCATGCCCAGTCCCCAGGTGAGGCTGGCAGGGCCCTCGGAGGTCCCTCCCAAGGCCGTTTCTGTGTGGGGCTGAGAAAGCCACACTCTGAATACATTTCATGTCTCAGGAACTCACATTCCAGGTTCAGGAATTTTATTCCAAAGTCCTTTGGTGCGCTCACTGCCCACGCGGTCCCCAAAGTCAGGGAGGGGGGCCACGTGCCCCGCGGGAGCCTGGTGTCTCCTCGCGACCTGGCTGTGGCATTGCCGAGGAAAGAGGGTTTCAGAGCCCACGTCTCTCTGCACATAGGAAGAGGGGAAAGGACTCTAAACCCAGTCATCTTGGAATAAAAGAAGAGCTGGTTTGTTTTGGGGAGGGGGGTGGGGGAGGGAGGGAAAGCGGGCGTTTGCTGTTCCCAAAGAGAGCACTTAATTTAATTTTTCCTCTAAGTGACCCAGGGCTGTTCCGTCTGCTAGATGGAAGGGTAACATTGCCTTAAAACAGAAATATGCAGGCGCGGGCTATTTTTGGCAGATGAGTGTGTCCTCGTTCCCAAAGCAGTTTTGGTCTAATGGCAGGGTGCGGACCTTCCGAAGTGGGCCTGGCCCAGGACACGGGCTCCTGCTTCTCTGCCTTTGGGCATCTGGAGAGAACTGGCTGGCAACCAGAGCACTCGGCCTGGAGCTCCAGCCAGCAGGCCATCCTGGCTCATCTGAGGCTAAAATTCATCTCACTTGAAGGGTGGGGGAAATCCATGCATCTCAGGCTAGGTTCAAATGGGCTTTTGCTAGCATCTCATCATCATGACATATGGAAGGAGGGAGTGCAGGCCCTCCCTCGCTCAGACCCCCATGGGAAGTGGTTGCATGGTGGTGGGGGTGGGCGGAGGACCCTGCCTAACAGCCTGCATTTTTTTTCTAAGTAGAATGTCTTCCCGGCCCAGGTCTGTTTCAGGGTCTTTGATTTTTCTGGTTTATGGCCATGCTTGCTGACTTCAGTGTGACAACTCCTAGAAACAGTAGTGAAAACTCCAACCTTTATTGTGTGCTGACTAGTTCTTGTAGGCCAAGGGGGCAGAGATCTCAAAAAGAAGGTTGCCTGAGTGAAGGGAGAGGTTCCCCTCCAAGAAGGCCTACAGGCGACCCTGGGCTCAACCTGGGGGCTGGTGTTTGGCCCTTGTCCCAAACAAGGAAGCCCTCAGCGTCAGCCATATTAGGGTTGTCAGCACCCCAAACGCCTACCCTGTTCTATAGCCATGAGGAAAGATGAGCCCCTTCCACAGCAGGCCATGGGGTGCTGTGTGGGGATGTGACCCTGTGGGTGCCCACCTTGCACCCTGCTGCAGCCCATGCACCATACTGAAGGTGCAGGGTGACCGCTTTACTGAGGCCAGGCATCCGGGCAGGTGCAGGATTTGCCAGGGTGCGGCCTCCAGGTGCACACTTCAGCAGCTGCACTAGGGTCCCCAGACCTCCCCATGCTCTTGGTCACAGCTTAGACCAGGGTAGCAGGGTGGGAGGTAACTTAGAGGCAGGGACAGACAGCAGGCCACCAGTGCCCCCCAGCCATTTGTTGGGACATACGGACAGGGCTGGCGGCTTTCTGGGGTCCAAGCGAAGTGCGGCAGAAGCGGGGTCTCCATTCAAGTCTCCTGCCCTCCAGCCCACTGTCCCCAGAAAATCCAGCCACTTTTCTTGCCAGAAGCAGGGCTAAGATGGCTGCAGGGTCAGAGCGCTCCAAGGGACTCGCTCCTTGAGCTCAGTGAGCGAAGGACCACCCAGCAGGGAAGCATGACCTGAGCAATAGCGTCCCCTTGATGCTCATCTCCTGGTTTCAGCTGTGTTTACAAGGCTACCTGATTTTTTTTTTCTTTTAATAGCTGTCACTTTTTTTTTTAATTTTCTTAACCCTTTTACAAAGTCATTCAAAGACTCAGTGCTGAAGGGTTTGAAGACTGATGGGTTGGTCACACTGCAGCCAGTAAGAAATACTCTGCAGGTCACCCACATCTTTGCTGTCCAAAGATCCCACATTCAATTCTGGTGACCGTTTATCTTCCAAAGCTAAAACCAAGGGTGTAGGCCGAGACTTTTCTTGAATTCAGGATTGCCCTGGGGAAAGCCAGGTCCTGTAACTGATTCTCCTGACTCCAAGACTTAAGCTTCAAAGGTTTGTCCCAGACACATTCCAGAGAATTTTGTATCAGAACTCAGATGCACCGTCCAGCTTACTACTGATAAATGCCTGAACACCGTTCAGGGAGAAGCCCTTCCTCCCACCCGCTACTCTGTCTCATCAGTTAGAAGAGTTGGATGTGGTGGGAGGCAGTAGCCCAGGGCTGTACTTGGTTTCTACTGAACCCTTCTTGCCATATGGGACTTGCAGTGTGCCCCCCGGCCCCGCCCAGCCTCTCCCCTTCTAGTGCAGCTTTAAATTTACTTTTATTTAAAGAGGAACGGATGAGAGCAAGTTGCTTCCCCTGCCCTGAACACCTTGCATTCCCTATGGGGGACACAGAAGACATGGGGGGCGGGGGAGGGGTGCATGAGCAGCCTTCTCCCAGGGCTCCAGGATGTCTTCCTGGTGATATGATGACAGGCTGCTGCACATGTTTGTTTGGAAACCAAGCCAAATGCCTGCTAGGCAACCAGAGGTCTGGGTGAAGGCTGTCTCCCCTACTCAGCCCAGGAGCACCTGTCCCAGGCCAGCCTGCCATCCCTGGAGCAGGGGGCCACCTCCCAGGGTCCATTCCTGGGTCAGGGTGCCTGGCTGTGGGCGTGTGGGCAGGAGGCTCACCTTGGAACATCCCTGTGGCAAGCACCAAGGACCCTGAGGGCTGGAGGGTAGCTGAGCAGCTGTGCATTGTTGGGGGCAGGGCCATTATGGCTCCCACAGGCCAGGAATCCGCCTGGGAATCTCTGTGCTGGGTGTACTAGGGGTCTCAGCCACCCTGGACTTCACAGACGGCCCCTCTTCCCAAAGCCATTGATGGAGCTTCTCTGGGATTGTTTGCCAAACCCCATGGTAGACTCCAAGGGTCCAAGACCATTTCCATCGAGCACACTTTTCTTTTATGTAGGAACTTTTGGTTTTGTTTTGTTTTGTTTTTTTAACCAGCACCACACCATGCTTCCGAAGGCCACGTCTCGTCTTTCCCGGATCACTACAGTGAAGTATTACAGTTGTACAGTTCCCAATCTGGCCTTGGCTTGCTCGGATAAAACTTTGTATGTATTTTGTAAGGCATAGATTCTATATTGTAATGATGTCCTATGCAAAAAGAAAAAAAAAATTAACGAAACTGTAAATTTTATTGTTTTAACGTGTATGCATGTTTAGTGACGTTTACATTTTGAAATAAAATTTATGATTCATTATTTGCCAGAACTGCTTCTTTGATGGGCGAGGCCCTGGAAGGGGAGGGAACCGAAATGGCCCAGTTTAAGAAGTTGGATATAACTGGCCCAAGGGGTAGACATCAGCTCAGAACTGGCAGGCTTTACATGGGGGAGGGGGAGACGGCTTTGCAGGGGAAGAGTACTTTGGCTACCTGATGCGAAGAGCCGACTCATTGGGAAAGACTCTAACACTGGGAAAGATTGAAACCAAGAGAAGGGGGCAACAGAGGATGAGATGGTTGGATGGCATCACCAACTCAATGGACATTAATTTGAGCAAACTCCGGGAGATGGTCAAGGACAGGAAAGGCTGGTGTGCTGCAATCCATAGTGTCACAGAGTCAGACACAACTGAGTGACTGAACAACAAGCACAGATTGTTCTGGTGGCCCACTGCCCTGATGCCCTTGGCTCATCACCTTCCTCACACCCCAGAAAGCTCAGCCTCACCAATCCAGTCCCCAGGAGCACTGAGAAGGCAGGTTCCTGTTGCAGGGTGTAGTGCTTGTTCCAGAAAATGCTCTGTATGCAGTCAGCTCGGCCCCTAGGTCAGCCTGGAAGCCGACCCTGAAGTACATGGAGGGGGCCAGCCTAGGACCATGGGGACAGGGCCAGGGATCCCGGAATATGGGGTGCAAGGTGATGTCTGTTGATGCCAGTGAAAGTCGCTTAGTCGTGTCCAATTCTTGGCGACCCCAGGGAATTCATGCCAGAATACTGGAGGGGGTAGCCTATCCCTTCTCCAGGGGATCTTACTGACCCAGGAATCGAACCAGGGTGTCCTGCATTGCAAGTGAATTCTTCACTAACTGAGCTATCAGGGAAGCCCTGATGCCCAGTTGATGCCAGAGGCCACTTGAATCTGCAGTCATGAACTGCCCAGCTGCTCCCTGCAGCAGGGCTGGTCCGTGCCAGGCAGGAGCGGGGGAGGGTCCTGGACCACAATTGTGCTTCCAACCCACGGTCACAGCCCACCAGGCACAGACCCAGAACTGGGGCTCTTCCGTGATCACCTCTTGTTCTCCATAGGCTACATGCAAACCATGAACAAATGTAAAGTAGCAATAACAAAGGAAGGCCTTGCAGGTGACCAAAGATGCCTTTTCCTAAAGCTCCATCCACACTCGCCAGGCGTTTCCTGATGACAGCTTGTTTTCTGTGTCATAGAGGAAGAGGAGGGGTGGGGAGGGAAGCCCCCTCCCCACCCCCCCATACACTGAACTGTCAGGAAAACATGTACACATTTTCAAACAAAAGTCTTTCTGGAGCCCAGTCTCTGTGGGAGGGAACATGTTCCCTGAACGGCTGTGGTTGTGCCTTACGGAGACAGTTCCTGGTGGCTCACAACTCCCCAGACAGCAGCAAGCAAGATGGAGCCACTTCCATAAATAATCGTGTGCTAAGAGCCTGAAAGCTTCAAAAATATCGATGGGAAAAAAGCAGCCATAGGTTGTGACATTGGTCCTTTCCAAACAGGGTCTGGCATTCAGATAACCCCCATCTCAGGAACCTGGGATCCCTGGAGACCCCCAAGAGGCCTCCAGTGGTGAAGAAGGGAAAAAAAAACCAAAAAACAATAGGTTTTCCCAGTTGCTTGAAAAGCAAATGTACTAGCCTGTGTCCACAAACACAGCACATCAACCATGGGGGAAGGGGCTATACAGATGGGACCTCAGCACTGGGTCCCGCTCCCTCTGCATTTTTATCAGGTGAAAGATCAAACTGAAGGCAGTCAGGTGCAGTGCTGAGGGTGTGGGGGAAGTGTGACATAGGTGTGCACTGGGCAGTGACTTGGTTACCAGAGTGAGAATTCTAGCACCAGCAGGCCAACAGGATGTCAGCAAGAATGTGACCGCAGCTGAGCCTACTGCATGTGCCACTCCGGACTGGGACAGACCCATCTCACCCAACCAAATACTGGGGGCACCCAGCCTGGCCTGCAGCGGATCTCTTGTGCAGGGGGTTGACCAGAGAGCGGTCTTTGAGTAGGTGGGGGGTGTGTCTGGTGGAGGGAGTGTTGACTGGGAGAACAGAGGCTGGCCAAGCATTTCCCATCTCCTGGCACTGGCCTGCAGTAGCACCCCACTGGCAGGGGGAGGGGGTTTCCCAGGATAGGCAGAATCTGCCAGGACTGCCAGGTAGGGATCTGCATTCTGGAGGGGAGTCTGATCAGGAGGCAAAATGAGGACACAGTGTATTTCGGGGAAAATCCGAAACTATCTCCTCATGGCCTTGGCAATCCTGATGGGGTGTGGACTGGCCTTTGCTGAGTTGAGCTCAAGGCAGAGGGCCTTGAGGTGCAGGCTAGACTGTGCAACTTATTCCAAGCACATGGGTGGCTCAAGCAACCCCCCAAGTCAAGCCTCTTCTGTCCTCTGGGGAACTTTCTGCCATTAGCACCACTCCTAGGGCCTTCCAGGAGGAAAGCATATTGACCTGGTGACAGCCAGGATTGGCGATCCTGCAGTAGTGGCCCCCAGATCAGCAGGTGTTGACCGAGAAGCATGGGGACCACTGTAGCTTCACA